TAGCAATAAAAACAATTAAAATAATAGAATACATCAACAGAAATAATACAAGGAATTAATAATAAAATACAGATTTTAATCTGTGCATTGAAAATGCAGCTCCAAAAGGTGCAGCATTAAAAGATTCAACACCAGAAGGCACTGCATTAAAGGGAAGGTGCAGCAAACAGGGGGAAAGAGGGAACATGTAAACCAGTGCATTGAAAATGCAGCCCAAAAAGGCGCTGCCCCAAAAATATATAACGGCAAGAAAAGGTAAAAATGCTAGTAGCAATAAAAACAATTAAAATAATAGAATACATCAACAGAAATAATACAAGGAATTAATAATAAAATACAGATTTTAAATAATAAAATAAAATGCAGTAATAAAATAACAACACGTAAATAAACTATAAAATATAATAACAGTAATAATAGCATCATTAAAATTGCCATGTCCTCAGCTTCCCCTCCTCCCCTCTGCCTCTCAGGCAGAATAATACCTGCAGGCAGCAGCACACACATGCCCCTATGCCCCCACCATGACATGTACCACCTCCAAAGTCCCTTTTCCAGGGAAACATGCAGCCCCCTCAATGCTTGGATGTAAGGCAATGTGTTCCAAATAAATCCAGCAGCTGTAGCCCCCCTGAGCTGGAAATACGAATAGTTTAGGGTCTCTTCCTCACACCCCTATTCCATATGGATAATTTAGGGACTCCCCATTCCATTTTCCCAGCTGGTTCCCAATTCCCTTGGATACCCCATGCCACCATCCCCATGCTCCCAGACCCTGTGCCACTTGCCCTGGCCAGTCAGGGTTGGCCAGTGGCCTCCCAGCCCCAGGTGCTGCAATCACACCTGGCAGATCAAACTAAACCCCTGGGAAACTCAAAAGAGGAGAAAAGGACAGGTTTGGGGTGGGAGAGCACCCCATCCATGTGGTGGGACTCCATCCCTCTCCAGTGGCTTTCCACGATTGCCCCGAGCCTGGGGAGCTTGCCCAGAGCAAAGGGACCACGGATGATGCCCCAAACAATCACGCAGAAATCGTAAACAAACTACAGATGGTGTTCTGCTTCCCAGGAAATTCCCGTGTTCCCACGTGAAGGTGACGTTGGGTGAGGTCTGCTCGGGCAGGGAAGGCCTCACCTCGCGCATCCAGAGGCTGAAGGGCCTCTGCCAGGAGTCCTTCTTCTCCAGGTGCAGGTAGGCGTTGAAGAGGATCAGGTAGATGTAGCGCTCCAGGTACTGCAGGCTCCTCAGCTGCAGCGTCCGTGTCTCCTTCTCATCCTTGCCCGACTTTCCCTGGATGGAACAGGAGCCTGGCTCTGGTGCCCGCCTTGGGAGAGCATCCCAGAGGCAGCTCAGCCCTCACCCCCGCTCCTTCTCCATCCCACTCTGGAAGCTGGGTGGTGAGGGACCCAGGAGGACCTCTGGGGCTATGGAAAAGCCATGGGAGGAGCACAGGAAGGGGGAGGACCACTCTGGGGACAAAAATAAGCACATCCTTCCCTCCTGCTCCCACTGGCACTTGGCACTCCAGGCTCTCATTTCCTTGTGGTTTCCAGCGTACACCAACATCGCCCTTACGGGGCAGAGCTCAAAAATAGGTGAGGGATGGATAAAGGGGTGGGGGGTATGCCCAGGAGCCAGGAATAGGTGCCCAGGTGCAAACTGTACCCCAAGCCATGAGATCCTGGACTGCAAAGCATTTCCCCAGGGAAAAACTCCTCCCTGGAAAGCATTCCCCAGCTGGATTCAGCCTCCGTTGCCAGAGGAAGAGAGGACATGTGGCCACCCAGTGTCCCACTCTGAAGCTGATGGCCATTGCATCTTCTAGTATTGCTTATATATATATTTAACATAAATATCCATTTTATTATGGTTTATATTACAGATACTATAAAATTCATAGATTCATTGTTTATATTTATTGTTGTTGTTATATATTGTATTTAATTATACAATACTTTTTGTATAATAAATTTTACTAGTATTATTATAGCTCTTAGGAACAAGCTCTGCACAATGCTCCTTCTAGGAATCAATAAATAATAAATAAAACAATAAATAAGAGCCTTGATCCCACATTTGATCCCACAGACCATCCCAAAGAGCAGCCACTCCTCACTTCAGCTCTGCCCTTTGGAAAAGGTGTCTCCTCCACATGTGTGTGCCAGTATTTGTAGAGAGCAGATCCTATTATCCTGTTATTTATCTTATTATTGCATTACCCTATTTATTTTTCATTCTATTATCCTATTATTTATCCTAGGTTTATATTCTATTATTTATTTTTATTCAATTATCCTATTACTTATCATTTCATTCTATTATCCTATTTATTTTTATTCAATTATCCTATTACTTTTTATTTTATTCTATTATCCTATGGATTTTTCTTCTATTATCCTATTGCTTTTTCTTTTATTATCCTATTATTTATCACCTTATTAAATTCACCTATTTAGTTTTAATTCAATTATCATCTTATCATTATATCCACCTATTTATTTTTCTCCTATTATCTTATTATTTATGATCTTATTATCCTATCATTTCTCTTTTATCCCATTATTTATATTTTCTCATATTCTCCAGGTTTTTCCTCCCAGTTAGGAGTGGGAAGAGGTCAGAACAAACCAAGCCAAGTCCAAAGCACCTTTTCCTTCCCTCCTGCTTTGCCCTAACCCTGCAAAGCATCTCCCAGAATCACGATTCCCACAGTTCTCTTCTCCAAGCTGCTCATCATTGAGGAAAAAAATAAAAATAAATTAAAATCAAAGCATTTGCACACAGCCCTGGCAGAGAACAGAATTAAATCCATAAAACAGGTTGCAGCCCCTTTAGGGTGGGAATTTTTAGCTCTGCAGCAGCAAAGGATGAGATAAGGTAGGTGCCACTTCCCACCTGGCCACCTTCCCGGGATAAAGGAGGAAAAAGCAAACTTAAATTAAATTACTTACCCCAAATAAAATTAGATTAATAAATAATAAATAAATGTGCAATAATAAATTTATGAATAATAAATAATAGCTATTGCTGCAAATAGTCAGGTCTCCAGAGGTTTTCCTCTCCCAGCCCCTCAAAAAAAAAAAAAAGCAGAGGACTCAAGAAACCAGGAGGCAAATCCCCAGGGAGGCTGCAGATGTTACTGGGTGATTGAACATCTTGGTTTCTCTTCCCCTCATCGATCGTTCGTGGCCATTAATTGAAAACATGGATCGATGGCAGCTGGAGCAAAAGCTGCAGCGAGGAATCACTGGCAGGACACGGCTCAGACCATCCCAGGCAAGGAATGATGCCAGGTCCTGAGCTCAGCTTGTCCAAGGCCCCATGAAATAGTAGCACAGCTTAAAAAATTCCAAATCTGATCAAAATAATCCTTTCTCCTCTTCATCAGCTCCATAGAGGCTCCCAAGTAAAACAGGGCTGTGGACCACAGGCTCAGCTGGCCATGGGATGCCACCGGCACAGATGGGTCCCTTCCCAAGGATGGCTCCTCTTCCCAAAGATGGGTGTCCTTCCCGGGCTCAGAGGAGCACGAGGAGCCTTTGGGGCTGGAAGCAGAGCGGGACAGACCAGTCCTGCCCTCTGCCGGCAGTACCTCACGGGATGGAGGGGATGCTGGATCAGATGGAGGCTGGAGTGGGATGTGGGATGCAGGTTGGTGCCAGAATGGCAGCATTCTGGGTGGGATGTGGGACAGTGAGAGATGGGTGGGGTATTGGGTGGGATATGGGATGGCACCAGACAGGTGGGATGTGGGATAGGATTCGGGATGGCACCAGAAAAGCAGGGATGCCAAACAGCAGCAGACAGGTGGGATGCAGGACGGAACACGATACAAGACAGCCCTGGGTGACCATGACCACAAGAGCCCTGGCATATCCCTCCAGAAAGCCTCACCCAGGAAACCAAACAGCTTCAGCAGGGCTGGTCCCAGAGCCCAGCTGCACCCCCTGGAACTGGGCAGTGGGAAGAGGCAGCTCACCTGCCGGTAGGTGCAGATGATGATCTCCCGGAGGTGGTAGTGCATGGGCGTCATGGTCTCACTGACCGTGTCCAGGGCCATGTCCACCTCCTTCTTCATCCGGTGACCGTCAGGCAGGAGCTGGACCACCTTCATCACCACCTGGAGCACGGGCAGAAGCAGAAGGGGCTTCACCAGGTGCCTGCTCCCCTTAATCCCACTGCTCTATCCCTGCCCAGGAGAGGATCCAGCCCCTCCAAACAAGCAGCTGTGGGTTAAGGCAGCAAAGAGCAGGCTTGGAGGGGGATACCTAAAACAGAGTCATGGCCAAGGACTCACCTCAAACTCCCCTTTGGTGTACTTGGCATCAGGCACGCTCACGATTTCCTCCTCGCTCATCTCGGGGATGCCCTGGGGTGGTCAGAGGGGGCTGGGTCATTATGGGCTGCACAGCCCTGTCCTCGCTGCCCAACAGCTGAGCAGAAATGCAGAGCCTGCACCCAGTCCACCAGGGCCCAGGCAGCCCCCACCTCCCCTCTGCTGGGCAGAGAACACCCAAGTTTTATCCCCACCCAAGGAGGGAGCCACATCTCTGGGACAGAGGACTGTTCCAGGCCCTGGCACAGGCTGCCCAGAGAAGCTGTGGCTGCCCCATTCCTGGAAGTGTCCAAGGCCAGGTTGGATGGGGCTTGGAGCAATCTGGGCTAGTGGAAGGTGTCCCTGCCCATGGTAGGGGGTGGAAGTGGATGAGCTTTAAGGTCCCTTCCAGCCCAAACCACTCCGTGATCTCTCCTGCCCTTTAACCCTTCATCCTGGCATGGGAGCTCTCGGGAAGGGGGTAAAGGGATGCACCCACACATCTCCTGGAGCTCACTGGGGGTTAGGCACGCCAAGAAGTCAACATACAGATGTCCACCTCCTCCAGCCCACCCTGGCCCTGCCCACACTCCTTTCAACCCTGCAGAGGTTCCCCAGCAGGCCCTGCTCCAGCCCAGCCCGCGGGGAGAGCCGCAGCCCCCATTACACACGTTGAAGTGCCAGAGGGTGAGCACAGCCATGACCATGGCCGTGGTGGTCCTGCCCCGGCCGCTGCAGCAGTTGAACACGAAGGCTGCCCGCGAGTCCTCGGCCAGGGCGCTCTTCATCACCTCCAGCAGCCGGTCAAAGTCCTGCCAGGGGTGAAGCCAGTGGGTTTTTAGGGATGCAGCCCACTGCAGGTCAGCACAGGTTGCCCACCTCCCTTCCTCACCGTGGCACCTCCACCTCTGCCGTACAGCCTCCGGTCCCCTTGCTCCCAGATCCATCCCTACCCAGCTGAAGGCACCCAGTCTCTCCATGCAACATCTCCCTGCCCTGGCAAGCACCCCACACTGTGCCTGGGCATGTCACTGTAGTCCTGGAGCTGTGTGGCACCGAGCAGCCAAGTGACATTCACCCCAGAGCAGCAGAGATGGCTTGGAAAGGAGGCAGCAGCACCATCCCATCCCCGGGGTACCTGCTCCTTGGGAGCACAGAAGTCAGGAATGGGGATGCGGCGGTAGGTGAGCCCCTGGCAGGAATTCTTCTGCTGGCTGAATATCTCCTGTGTGGTCAGGCAGCTCTTGAACATCTTCATCTGCTTCTCTGCCTCCAGGTACACCTCCAGCCACTTCTGGCACTTCATCAGGTCACCCTTCAGGGCAGCCTCCAGTTTCTGCAGGGGATGGAGAAACCCTCACTGTAACACCTGCTCCTCCTAATTTTTGTAGGATTTTAATTATTTTTTTTTAGATGCAGGCTCACATCCCTCTTAAACACCCCATAGCCAACTCCAAATCCCACCTCAGGTCCTGGCTACCGCTTCCACCCAGGACCACAGTCCCCACCGTGCTTGATGGGAGCCTCAGGAGCATCATCTCCCACCACGCTGGGCAGCTCCTCCACAGAGCTGTGCTGCTGCTGCAGCCAAACCCCTTCACTGCCTATCTCCTCTGGAAACCCAGCTGGGAACATCTGCTCCCCTCTCCCCAGGTGTCTTTTACCCTGACTTTTAAGGCAAACTTTAAATTCTTCTAGGGAGGATCTCTGCTTTGCTCCCTCATTCCCAAAGGAAAACAAAACCAAAACCAGCAGCGCCAGGGGGTGAGGGACTATCCAAGCCTCTGGGAAATCCCCCACGAGGGCTCATAGGAGTATCTCCCAGCAGGCAGAGCTCACCTCTAGCTGCTGGGGTGAGGCAGTGGGCACAGGGATCAGCTCCTCCAGGTGCCCGGGCTCCCGCAGTGTGTAGATCTGCTCGTTCCCCTCCAGGACCGCTTCTTCCCGGAGGTTGATCCAGACAATGCGGGCGTGCTTCCTCTTGGCATCCGTCAGGTACCGCAGGACACTGCCCAGGGTCTGGGGAAAGGGTGGGCAAGGGTGATGGGAGCTCTGGGAGCCCAATGAGGGGTCCCTGCCCAGTGTGGGGTCCTGCCCCTCACCTTGGAGCTGGGCTGTGCTGTCCCGTAGACAGGCATCTTGGGCACCCGGCGGAAGTTGGCCACGCTCATCTCCTTGGCAGTGCTCAGCACATCCGGGCAGGAACGCTCATCTGCCACCTGCAACGGAGCAACGCCTGGGCAAGGGGTGCCCCCTCCCAGCCATGGGGTTCCCAGCACCCCACAACCTCTCACCCACGGTCCCTGCTCAGGAGAAGTCCCCAAACCTTTCCAACAGCAGCATCCAGGACTCAAAGCCACACAGCTGTGTTTCAAAGGTGGGAGATGCTCTTCTTGCAGCACAACCTGCAAGGCACCAACAGCCCTGGGCTCCTTCACCCCACCACAGCCAAGGACCACCAGAAACACTGAGCTGCTGCTTAGGTTCACATCATGGGATGCTCCAGCACCCTGGTACCTTGGGTCTGTGGGGCCGGACACATCCATGTGCAGAGCATCTCTGCCCACACAGGCATCCTTCATCGAATCACAGGATGGTTTGGGTTGGAAGGGTCCTTAAAGACATTCTAGTTCCATCCTTGCCATGGACCCCAGACCCCAATGCTGGCCCGGAGACCCCAAAGCACCTGCCCTACAATGGGAAACCCCTCGCTTCTGCCCACCCCCGAACCTCTGTGAGGGAGAGCAACCCCAGCAAGGCGCCATTCCCGTCTCTGCACCCCCGGCGGGCACTCACCAGCACTCGTGTGCCCTTGGTGACCAGGTCCACGGTGACGGTGAGCTCCGAGCAGTTCATGCCCGCCTGCAGCCGGTACAGCTCCGGGTGCCGGCACATCCACCTGCTGAAGCTGAGGGCAAAGCCCAGGGGGTACTGCCGGCGGGGGGCCGGGGAGGGACGCGCCGTCAGCCGGGCTCGACCCCCGCCTGGGCACCACCCCACCCAGAAAACCTCCTGGAAAACTCTCGGAGGCGGAAGCCCCTTCCCTCCCCACTGCACGACAAAGCAAAAAAAAGAAAAGAAAAAAAGAAGAGGGGGAAAAGAAAGGTTTTTTGGGGGGGTCTTTTACCTGCTCGTGAAGGTAGTAATTGAAAGCAATCAAGTAGAAATAGCGTTCAAGACTCTGTAAAGTCCTCTGGAGGAAATACTCTTTGGTGCTGCTCCCCTGAAAGCACAGGCAGAGGGAATCCGTGATGCTGACCCCACACAGAGCAGGAGGCTGGGAAAAAGCCCTACAAGCTCTTCTCATGATTTATTTTTTTTTTAATTAAACATTTCAAGTTTTCTGTATTAAATGATGCTTAAAGACATGAATTTGTATTTCAGCTCAAACAAAAGCTTCCCTGTAGCCCAAGGACATGCTGGGAGCAGTTCCAACTGGACCCAAGGGCCCTGCTGTTGCATGGATACACTGTCCAGATGTTAACAGGAGATTCAAACCCAGGGGGGTGGGTTGGAAAATGCTAGGTCCTGCCCCCACCCCAGCCACCTCATGAGGCCTTTGGATGAGGTGCATCCCTGGGGAGAGAGGTCCCCCTGCCAGCCACACACCCTGTAACATCCTTCATTCCCAAGTGTCCCCTCTCTCCCTTCATGCCCAGAAGCATCCTGATGCACAAGTAACTGGCTCCAGGCAAGCTCTCCTCCTCCTCTTCATCCTTACCTCCCCAAAGAAGGCATGTGCCCCACCACGGCTATCCCCTCCCAGGGATGAAGCTCAAACCCTCAGGATTTTCCATAATTCAGAAATCCCAGGGTGGGGGTTTGTACATCCAAGCATCCCATCCAACAAACTGACCAGTGAAGGAGCACCCAGCATGGCATCCACAAGCATACCTGGAGAGCCCATCAGGACCTACTTCCCAGGGTATGATGGAAAATCCTATAAGGTGGGGCTGTGCCAGGGGTCAGCTCGGCGAGTGGGGTTTGCTCATCCCTGAACTACGTGGCTGACTCATGAATATTTACTTGTTCTCCACAAGAGAAATCCGGCCTGCTGTCATTTATCAAGAGGAAAGGCAGTGGGATTTGCTCTGGGAACTCAAAACAAAGCCTGCAGGGATGGAGCGGTGCCGGGTTTGCCGGCAGCGCTGACGGCGGAGCGGTGCTCCTGCAGCACTCCATTCCTGCAACCAAAGCCAGCCCCGCGCTCTCACCCAAGGTAAATCTCTTCATATTGCCCTTAAATAGGCTTTTGATGGAAAGGGGGATGATCCCCTCACATCCCAGTGGTGCAGAGTTGGGTATCCTGGCGATCCAGTTGTGGTTCAACATCCCACACTGGGATCCACCGGCATCTCCATCACTTGAGGGCTTAAATCTCCATTTTTACCCCCCAAATCCAGACAGAAACCCACTGTCCAGCGTGACCTCCTTCTTCTATGCCCAGAAAAGCCCTTCCTCTCCCCCCCTAAAAAAAAAATTAATTAAAAAAAAAAAAATCAACCAGCTCACCCAATACCACTCCAACACTATAAAGCCCAGGCTGGTTTTCCCATGTCTGAGCATCATCCCCTCTCCCCTCCTCCATCCTCCCCCCAGCACATTTTCCTGGCCCCTTGCCACTGTTTAAACCTGCTCTTGCTCCACAAAGACTTCAAATAAACACTCCTCAGGGCTTATTTATGGCAGTCCCCCAGCCATTTGTTTCCCCAGAGTCCAGGATGACACAGAACAGGGAAAAGCCAGGGAAAGGCTTCAGTGCAGTAGGAAAATCCCTTACCCTGAGCCAAAGATTCCCCTGCTATACAAGAGAACCTACCAGCACATGAGCAGCACCAAACATATCCAAAACTGCCCTAAAAGGGGGCAAGGGGGATAAAATTTGGGATTTGCCATTAAATGCCAAAAAAGAGACTGTAAATGCCTTCTTTTCCCATCCTTTAATCATTTTCATGGGGGTTTTTTTTTGTTGCACGGTACCTGGTTTCAGATTGCTCTTTAAAACCAGCCCCAGCACTGCCACCCCACATTCAGCATTTAAATAGGAAAATTAATCTCCAAAGAGGCTGGGATTGGGACAGCACTTCTACCTGAGCTCCCTCCCTCCCTCCCATCACCTAGTGTAGAGCCCTCCAGGCCAGGCAGGGGAGTCCTACAGCTTTCCATGCTGGAAAACCACCCTGATGGCTCTTTAAAACAACGGGAAACAAAATGCATCTACAGCTAGAAACGCCTGACCTTGAGTGACCATATTTGCAATGATCCCTCCCAGCTCCCGAGGACTTTTACCATCCAGGCTGATATCGATTTTACAATTTTAGAGCTGACGAAACCAGGGCACAGGATATTATTTGCCCCTGAGGTCACCCACCAGAAGCAGCAGCGAAGCCCAGAACAGCCTGTTTCCCCCCCAATCCCAGCCTGCTCAATTTTATGGCTTTTGAAGCAACTGGAAAGGAAAAAAGAAGAGAAAAATAAAAAAAAAAAAGAGAAGCCCCACAACCTTTCAGGTTTCACATCTCTGGGAAATCTCCAGCTCTCAGGAAGCTTTGGGTTTCCAGAATTTACATTCTTCTCATCCCAGCGCAAAAACAGCTCAATAAATTATCCCGTGCCGACAGCTCGCATCCGTGCAATCCTCTGATTGCTGTACCTGGATCTGATAGTCCTCCCCGATCCCCTCCAGCTTCTTCTTGTTCTCGTAGATGGCTTCCTTCATGTCGTGCATCTCCGAGCAGGAGGCGATGGCACTGTCCACCTTGGGAGGAGCAAGGGGGAAATCGCTCCATAAGCCTTGGATCAGAGGGGAAACAATCCCTCCCCTCCCAGCCACCCCACTAGGGGCTTCAGCAGCACCCCCTTACCTCCTCGACCATCTGCTGGCCTTTGGGGACCATCTCGATGAAGGCCTGGATGACCCGGAGCCTGTCCCTGGGAGGTGTTTTAGGCAGGTGGGGGAGGCTGGGGTGGGAGAAG